TCACCCACCACCACCACCACCCCCACACCCCCACCACCACCACCCCCACCCCGCCTGCACTGGACAGTCCTGGAGAGGCACTCAGAGAGCCAGAGTCCTGACAGAAGTACCACTGAAGGCACATAGTTTTAGTGTCTTTTTCCATGTTCAAATCCAAACGTCTACACTGTTGCTCACCTGGGGGAATTTATAGTAAGACCAAGTTCTGGTTGTTGTCATATGCTATTTAGGGAAGCATCTGAAACTCAATTTATAGTATTTAAGTTTTATCTATAACAAAGGAGCCCTGGTAGCTTAATGGTTCAAGCACTCTGCTGCTAACCAAAAAGTTGATGGTTCGAATCCATCCAGCCCAGCTCTTGGGGAGAAAGCTACTGCTCCTGCTCCCTTAAGGCTACAGACTGGAAAGCTGAGGGGTAGTTCTGCTCACGAGGAGTGAGAGCCAACATGACAGTAGCAGCCCTGAAGGTGGTTTTTGTTGTTGTTTTCTGCTTTTAAAATCCTTCAAATGCTCTCTGTTCTGCCGGCAGGTGTCTGTGCTTGAAAGCTGGAAGGAACTCTATCTGTGGAAGTTAGAAGTCATCAAAAGCAGTGGAGAAAACTATGTGGAGCACCTGAGAAGTCGGAGCAGGTATCATGTGACTCCCTGTGTGACTTTCCCAGGTTGTCTTCAGGAACATTTGACTCCTCGTAGTTACATAGTTGGCACGCGCTCAATTGTGGAAAAATCAGAACAAACAAAAATGGGTCAGAATTACCCTTAATTCTAAATGAAGGGATGACTTGTTGGCACTTTGGAGTAAACGTGCTAAGGCATTGAAGAGACAGAAATCGACAAACAGGTATCTACTTTTCACTGGGTAGTGAGCGTACCAGGAGCCTCCCCTCGTTCCCCTCTTCTGCCTGATTCTGGGCGGTCACGGAGGAGCCCGCACACACACAGATGCAGCAACCTCCGGAGTGGTAGTGTGGTGTTGGCAAATTCCTGTGAATGTAGGCTGCCCTGAGGTGAGCAGCCTTGTAGCTGAGTCCCATCCCTATTTCTGTGCAGCGCAGTTCTCGAATGAAGACGCCATCCTTACGGCTCTTTCAACATTTTGCCAGAATGTTTTCTATCCCAGCAGCGGAGCAGTCTTTGTGGCAGGATGTGAGGCTGTCTCTGTGATGGATATTCATTGTTCTTTTTTAAAAAGAGCTCTCTCTATTCTGTGCTGCTTCCTTTTGGCTTGGTTTTCACAGACCCTCAGAGCGTCTTCTGCAGTCTGGCATGTAGCTTTATATAGTTATTTGTTTTTACATGAGTTTGATATTTTCATCTGTTCTTTTATCATGTGCTACACGGACCTTAGCTTCTTCATTCCAGACTTCTTATCCATCTAAGGGCTTTGGGGTTCAAATTTGAGGTGCTTGGTGATGAGCCATAGATTGTATGGGTAATAGAAAACAGTTTCAGTGTGTATCTCTTCACACGGTTCCTCGCTTTCAAGATTTACTCTTTTTCACGGGAGAAAACCCTTCTGAGGAGTGCTGGGCCAGCCTGCCAGTCCGATGACAGAGTTAGTACAGCTGTTCAGATGGCTGCGGGACGTGCTGTGCACGGAACACACATGGAGACTCCCTTACGAGGGCAATCGGGCACTCTCAGACCTTCTTTTATCGTAATAGCGTGAGCTTCCTCACAAAGGGAGCTCTGGTGGCGTCGTGGCTACACCTTGGGCTGCTAACCACAGGACCAGCAGTTCAAAACTCCAGCCACTCCATGGGAGAGAGAGATGAGGCTTTCTAGTTCTATGAAGACCGCAGCCTCGGAAGCAAGCTCACAGGGGCAGCTCTACCCTGTCCTGTAGGGTTGCTATACATCGGAATTGACTCCAGTGGCAGTGAGTTTGACAGTTTGGTTTTCTCCCATGAAGTTTCAAACTTCTTTCTTTCTGAGGCTGCTCTGCTTACTCTACACCATTCACCAAAGTCTAGCAAAAGAAGTGAATGATGTAAGATGTGTGAGGAGACTTACAGTGTTACTTACTTGTCATCTCAATGAGGAAGGATAAGCTTCCCTATTACTCTCAATAGACAGGGCTTAATGAGTTACTGAGATCATGAATTGATCTTAATTTACCAGGCCTTCCTCATGATTTCGGTAGTGAAGTAGAGATTGGGCTTTTAAAATATTGTGAATGTCCCAAGATAGCATTGATTGATTTTTTGGTTGGCTTTGAAGGTAAAGACAACTTTTCCTATTAAACAGAAAGATGTCAAATGAAGGCTGGTCAGAATCTCCATTGTTGAGTTCGGATGAAAGATTCAGGACCGCGTTTGATCTTTGCTCACCAGTGTTGGGGTTTGGGGCAGAGCAGTCATTAACCAGTTTCTGAAGGGGTGAAGTCCAAAGAGCCAAACTCTTTCAAGACAAAGGCTTTAAAAATCGTTTTTCTTTTGTGACCTTCTTTAAAGTATCATTGTCACGTCTAAATATCTGCTTTCATTCTATACGTGTTTTTTATTTCTAAAGTAAGTCATATTTTTATGCTTTTTCAGTGATTATGATGAGTCTCTATTGGAAGCTGTCTTACAGGAATGGTACTCTTGCTTTTCTTGGATTAAAGATGAGCTTGAAATCATAAATGTAAGTTGTAAAGTATATGATGGTTATAATTGTCAGGAGACCACCAATGTTGTAATGAAATGTATTACTTTTTTAGCGGCTAATAGTAACATATGTTTCATTTTGAGAGTATTAAGAATTTTTCATGAAAGTAAGGATACTGTCGTAATTCAATGGTAATTATCTTGAACTCTGCCCTTGATTGACAAGGTAAGAGACATTATGTTTCATAGGGCTACCGAGCATAGGATCCCAGACTTAGAAAGCCTACCACCCACTTTTCAGCAAAAAAAAATTACTCACCACCCACCCAGCCATGAAAAACTTTTGTAGCACAACCCACAATCCAGGATAACTGGTAGTACGGGTAGTATTTGCTTTCCCAGTTCACCCCTCAGGGAGCACTGCTCTATAGCCTTCTGACGAACTAGCTTTTATTTTGAGTGTATCCTGAAAGGAATATTTGTTTAATACCTTGCATCTCAGTTATGGTTCCTGGACAGCTGGTGACAATTTGTAATGTGTATGGATTTTAAAAGCATTCATTGACAGTGCAGGTTTTTCCCTCGGAGTTTAACATTTCCCTGTCGACCTGCAGTCTCAGGTGGAGGAAAAGGTTGAGGAAGCCAGAAGCGGTGCAGACGTCTGCGAGATTACGGACATGTTTTGCCTTCCTGTCTTCGACCAGGTAAGTCAGTCGCAGCTTTTCCTCCCACTGCTTTTCTCTTTGAAGGAACTGTGAGTTCTCTTCGTAGCTGGCCAAAGTAGTTGTTCTGCACTGTGGATGCTTCCTGGGGTTGGGGATTTAGTGGATTATTAAATGCCTGAATGTTTTCATTATCTGTGCTTCTGCTTAACTTTCCAAGCTGCGTACCATACTCATGCAAGAGAGGGAGAGCAGTCTTCCTGCACCTGTATACGAGGACAGGACTGACAGAGACCCCTGACAATTGTGTGTTTTTTACTTTCATACTCCAACGCCTGTCTTCTTTCTTTTTCTGGATGCTGGTGTGTGCATGTTTGTTTGCGTGCGTGCGTGCGTGCATGCGTGTGTTTCTCCATTCCAACTAATAATCCACCAGGTGCCTATGATTCAGGTAGGCCATCTCTTCGAATGCCACTTGAGCTGTAGATCCTCAGGAGTATAAGACCAAACTCTAAAATGTAACACTTATTTCCTCACTAAATACAGAATAGAAACTGCTATCCCTGGGACATACAAGGGCTTTGTTGGTTTGACATACAATATTTTACTGTTCCTTTTGAGGATTATTTTGAATAATCATGATTGTTAAATCTTTTCTCTCATTTTTAAAATATGAAGACAGTAAAGGAAGACCATTGCTTGTATTCTGTGGTCTTTAAAATGAGGCTAACCTACTGGTATCACTCATTACATCCTGGAGTACAGTACATCTTGATTAGATTTGATGCACAGTAGCATGCTCAGGTAATAAATAAACTGAAAATATATTAACTGCAAGGAAGATGAGACTTTAAGACTACAAAGAAGGACTCTATCCCAGAGTTGATTAGAAAGAGGTTTTGGAATGTTTAGGCCCCTCATTAAAATCTTCTATGTTTCTTAAGACAAAGCAAGGCTATTGATGTGCTGCTGGCTATATACCTCCCTGTTCCTTCCAGAGCTTTGCCTGGGCGGTCCCCCAGCTTCAAACCTTGTCCTCAGCCTGCATTCTGCCTCCCTGTGGACCCTCCATCAGCGCCCACCTCCCCGTGAACCTTGCCTTTCATGTGTTCTATTTCTCTAGCTCAGGCCGCAGGCTCTCTAGGATCAGAAACCTGATCTGGAGCAGCCTTTTCTCTGCAGGGCCTTGTGTAGTCGGCACTCACAGTTCATCTGCAAAATAATATAATAATAGTAGTAATAAAATGATAATGATAATGATAAAGACATATAAATGAAAAAGGGTGTTCACCTTAAACTTAGCAACAAAGAGTGTGTTTTTTAGAATTAAGTTAAACCTCACTTGTCATTTACAGGTTTTTCCAAGTGCTCATAGCAAACATGGACAGAAAAACAATCTTTGGGCCTACGTAGAGTATTTTTATTTGAATTTGTAACTCTAGAATTTTAATATCCCAAAATCCTGGGGAACTTTGAGTGTGCCAGTAGCTTGAGTACTACACGTCTCTGAAAACATTCACCTTGTGTTTCATTTCTCCCTCATTCATTCCTTGGGTATTCATTGGTGACCAGATGTGGCCTGTGCCCTCAAGGTGCGTATGGTCTCGGGAAGAAGACAGACTTTAAAGTCCCCTGTGCGAGCAGAGTGCGCCAGGTTGCTCGCTGGAGCACCGAATGCTGCAGCAGCATAGCTCCACCTAGGGCTCTGGGCTCTCGGGGTCAGATCCGAACTAGGAATGAACCAAAGGAGTAAGTGGGGTGGTTGTTTGAGGAGGAGTGGAGTGTTAGGGTGTTGGAGTGCTCCTCATAAAAGAGATGGTACATTCCGGAGGGAGCATCTATGGCTTTTGGATCTCAAAGAACTGACTGAGGAGCTGTAGTGAGAAAGAAGATGCAAGTGTGCCAGGGGCCAGAACTAGGGGCCTTTGCTGTGAGTCAAGTTGAGTTTGGACTTTCCTCAGGGCCCAAGGAGGCTAGCACAGGTTCCAAGTAAGATGTGATCCCAGATCTGTTTTTAATGAAGACCACGTGACTGAGTGGGAAGAAGGGGGTGGTCAGGACATGAGTCGGTTCTGGCTGACCAGTGACTGCTCACAGCCATCCACAACCTCCAGACAAGGGAGCAGCTATAGGGGTTGAGAAGACATGATGTGCAACTCAGTAGTAAGTACTGATGAGAGAATTGCTCTGCTCCTTCAGTTGGGGCACAGGGGTGTGCGTGTGTGTGTGTGTGTGTGTGTGTGCGTGTGTGTGTGTGTGTGTTTTGTAGGATGAAGCCCAGTTTGGGCCCAGCATATCAGTGAGGGAGACTCTTAGACTATGTAGTGTTGAGGAGACCTTGCAGATGCTGGTTTTGAACACATAGACTTTGAGTTGCTTTGGGGTCCACCCGAGTGGATCACGCGAAGTCTGGAAAGGCAGAGTTTTATCTCTGAAAAACATAGGAGAGTGAGAACTCAAAGGAAGTGGGCATTATCAGCAGTGAGGCTATGGAAGGGTGGGGTGGAGGGTGGGGGCATCAAATGGCCTAGAGCCCACCAAAGGCTCCAGGGTGGACAGAGGGGAAGGACTTCCCAGCAGGCCTCCAGAGAAGTGGGCGTGAAGTTGACAAGTGTAACCAGGGAGGCGTGTGCTCTGATCAGAGAATGTATCGAGCTGGCTTCATGGGCTGGAGGTTGTTGGTGGCCTTGGCAAGGGCAGTTGGCAGTTAACTTTTTCACTGATGAATGGATCACAGAGTTTACTTGGGAAGGGGAGAAGTGCAAGAGAAGGGGTAGTACCAGGAGAAGGGCTGGAGGCCAGGTTCAATGTGAGGCAGAGTTGCACAATTTATGTAGAAAGCAACAAATAACCGGGAGAAGGGTTTAGAGAAGAGACTCCTCCCTTGTTCTAGTTAGTTATGATCGCTCCTTTTTGGAAACAATGTTAACGTGCGCGGGTGAGGTTTCCTGTGTGTTAGAGCATAGTGTTTTTTGCCAGCATGCCACTGAGTAGGCCCTAAGTCCCGGCAGCCCCCGGTGTGTCGGAACAGTCCTGTGCTCCACCCACCAGGTTTGCTAACTTCCCTAAAGTAGCTCTCCAGGCCTTTCTTGCACGCTTTGCCATAGTGGTGCTTAGCAGTCAGTCTCTGTAGTGTTTCTCCTGGTAGCTCAAGGCAAGCCTTCTCTGAATGGTGCAACCCCTGTGGTGTGTCTCACAGTACAAGCTTCTGCCTAAAGACGCAAAGAATGGCAGCGCCTCTGCAGAGCACGCTTCCGCAGACCAGTCTGAAGTCGCCCGGCTGTTAGCGTGTGCCAAGAAGGCTGTCCAGGAAGCTCAGTCCAGGCAAAACACCCAGGCTGAGCAGAAATCGCCTTCGCCTCAAGGACGCGCTGCCCGCTCCAGCCAGAAGCCGTTCAATAGTATCATTGAGCACCTGGCAGCAGTGTTCCCGTGCTACAGCAGGTAGGCCTAGAAATGCCTCTGGCCACCAAGCACCCTGCTGACCCGAGCCGTCTGGGCCAGATAAGACCATAGCCTTGTAGGGACGGAAACAGAAAGGACTGCACAACCGTTTCACTCCGACACTTCTGGTCTCTCCTGTAAGCAATTGCGGTTCACGTGCACATCTAGATTTTAGAAATGGCACTGCTGAGCTGACAACCCCTCCCCACTCCACCCCCCGCTCCCCCCCCCACACACACATATCCCGTCAGGACCCCCGGCAGTTGGTTGAGATCACCTGCTACTCTGCAGTGTGAGTGGTGAGGGAAAGACAGATGGCTGCCGTACCATGGTTTCATGTCACTTAGAGCAGGGAAAGTAACCGCGACTGCCACCCTCTTGCTGGGCTCTGCCTCTGACTAAGAGATCACAGGCCTGATTTCGCAGGGGTGTGGGCTCATGGAAAGACAGGTCCTCTGAGGGTGGGAAGCACTGCTCACACAGAGCTGTGAATGAGGCTTGGGGAGGGCAGACCCTGCAGTAGGGTCTCACGTTGGTGTAAGGGAGACAGCCGTGCACCTTGCACCAGCCAAAAGGAAGATTGTGGTAAGGGGGTGGGGTGCAGCTCCCAGTGCAGCTCAGCAGAGACGACCCACTAGGAAGGCCCCTCTGTGCCCTATTGTTCTGACTCTGTACAATGTTAATGGTAGACCTTGAGCCCATCGTTTGGAAGCACCAGGTAGTCTTTAAAACAAGATTGACCAAAAGACATGGTGCGCACTTGTAGGTAGAGCTCTGCCCCCTTGAACATAAGTATATTTTACCTGCACGTGACCCTGTTTAGCCCTGGCTCTGTGTGAGAGGAAGAGCCCTGGCGGAGTAGTGGGAGTTGCATTGAGCTGCTAACCATTAGGCCAGCAGTTCAAAACCATCAGCCACTCCACGGGAATAAGATGAGGCTTTCTGCTTTCATAAAGAGTTTCAGACTTGGAAACCTGCAGGGGCAGTCCTGCCGTGCCCCAGGAGTCAGAATTGAATTGATGGCAGTGAGTCATTAGAAAAGCTTGAGAAAAAGAACCCTGCTAGCGCTGTCGGGTAAGCTTTGGGCTGCTAATGGCAGTGTTGGCGGTTCAAACCCACCAGCTGCTCTGTGGGAGAAAGATGAGGTTGTCTGTACCCAAAAGATTTAAAAGCTTCAGAAACCGCAGTCGGCAGGAAGTCAACACAATGTGCTTCTTCATGGGTAGAAAGTGATTTCAAGTCAACGAGCCAATGGACCCGCTGGCTCACTGGTGACAGAACGTCTGTCTGCAGCCCCCTTTATAATTGTCGGGGGTGGGGTGGGGTATGTGACCCAAGTTTATAGTTGCTTGGAAATTCTGGTAGGATAAATATTTAGAAATAAAACTGGAACTTTTCTAACTACTTCGGAAAATGATCCTACTTTAAAATGGTTTTGCTTTTTAAGAATGTGATTGCTGTTGTCGTGCCGTCAAATTTTGTTGTATTTGTCGTGCTTCTGTTTCTCCTACTGTCGGGTTAACCTTGGCACGTAGTGATTCTTGGCAATAGAGACCTAGATTTCTGTTGTCGTTTGTCCCCACTGTTCTCTTTCAGCTCCAGGCTTGCTGGATTTGTGAAAAAAGTGCGAGTCAAGAGCTCCCTTTTAGGACTGAGTATTGATGAAACCGTCGGGCGAGTCATCAGACACATCCTGATCGAACAGAAGAAGGAGGTGGGCATTGCTTCCAGATTTGGCGAAGTGGCCCCTTTCATCTTTACCGGTTCGTAAAAACTGAGAGTTGTTTAAGGGAAAAGCAAAGTGCTTTTTTGGCTTAAACAGAACATAGAGCACCCTTACCAAAGAGAGAAGACAGTCAAGCTTTTCAGTGGCTGAGCTCTGTGCTGTCTCCACCCCCTTTGCCTCCGTAGCCCAGTCCAGGGAGGGAGCCCAAGGCCCCTGGGCCCAGCTCTGAGAACCAGCCCTCGGTCACTGCCCCAGCGCCACCTGGAGCCCAGGAGCAGAGACAAGAAGAAGAGAGTGTGGTCTGTGTGGCTCTATTGTTATTCTAGTCTGTGTGCTTTTCTTCTGTTGTTTCCTTTCCATGAAGAAGATAAGGAAGAAGGACATGGTTCCAATCCATGGGGTAGCCCCATTCGTTTCATTCCTAGGCCTCCCTGCCCTGGCTTTGCTGCAGACAGTCAAGTGCTTTGATTGTGGTATTGAGTGTGTTATTTTGAAGAGATGGGGAAGATGCTTTGGGAATTACTTTCTTCCATGTAAGCATGGGCTTGGGAATCACACAGACCTGGTCCCACCGCCTACTCACACTGTGAACCTGGTCCCATTTCTTCATTTCTCCAAGTCTGCACTTCCTCATTTCTGTAAAGGGAGCCTGGCTGCTGGCCCCAGATCTGGTCTCGACGGAATCCTACACTCTCACTCACTGGATCAGGCCCAGTGCTTGCTCCTTTCCCTCAAGGGCTTAGGAGGGTCATTACACACCCTCCCCAGCTGTTACCTACTTAGGTGAATACTTGTTTATTTCATTTTTTACTTCCCTTTCTTCTCTCCTTCCATCTTCTCATAACCACTACTCTTCTGTCTTGACGGGTGTACTATTCTAGATATGCCCCACGAGTGTTTGGCATCCGGCTAGTGCCATGCTCCAAGTGTGACGTGGCAAACATCACCACACATAGTGCCGAACCTGGGAATCTGCTGCCATAGAAAACCATTTTTCCTCTGGGAAAACGAGAACTTTAGGAGTATACAGGCCTTTTGTGTTTTTATATATACAAGGGACCACAAAAAAGTTCATGGGCCAATGGAACTAAAAGAGGTGGAGTTTTCTCACAAGCGATCAAGAGCCCTTGTTTGTGTGTGTGTGTGTGTGTGTGTGTTTCCCTTAAGACATGCATTTACAAAATAAGTTCTTTCCTTAGTCTTGTTAGTTGATTGAATTGGGGAATAATTTGCCACCGTAGAGGCAGGATGCTAGATGGCGATTTCTAGGCCTAGCTCCTGTAGTAAAAGGAAGTCTAGTTATTCTCTGCTATTCACATCTCTTCCTCCCTCCCCCCATCGCCCTCAGGCGCCAACTACAAGTTCCTGTGAAGTATGCCAACAGGCCCTGGAGCCAAAAAACACCTGTGTGCTGAACTGTAAGCACACATTCCACACTTGGGTAAGGATGCTCTTCCTTCCTGTATGGTGACGGAAGTATTTTGAAATAACAAAGGAGACTTATTTTCTTATTCATACTACGAGCTTTACCAAGCAGTTGTTCAGTGTTTGCTTCCACAGACTGGCATGGGGTAGGCAGGACCCTGGGCCCTGGGGGCTCTGTGCAGCTCTCTGGGCTGTCCTGGCTGCCCTGTGGGTCAGCGGAGGAAAGACCCCTCCCTGGGCTGGGCTGTGAGCGCAGTCCCAGTTCAAGTTGATGTCTTAGGTGGACAAGCAGTGCAGCACTGTTTTTCTGAGTGGTGCAGTAGATTAATTAGGCTTAATGTTTTAGAGACAAAATAATAAATCTTACTGGGTCTGTGGTGCCTGACTCTCAGAGCCCCGGCCTCTTACCCTTCTAAGGTTTGCATGTATGTACGTGTTTGGTGTTTAGGGCATGATGACCATTGGTTCGGTACCCCTGTGGCTGACTAGAACAGGCAAAGTCTCGGTCTTGATGTGGTGGTAGTAAGTAAGCTCTGGGGAAAATCTTGGGCTTTCCCAACAGTTCATCATGATCAGTGGAAACAAGAGCAGCATAGTCGTTACATAACAAACAAGTCTCACACAGTTTACCCCACTAGGAAACAGGCTGCCCCACCCCGCTCAAAGATAGTAGCACCAATTTGAATGTGCTAGTCAACCACCCTATTTGACCAAGACACCCCTGCCCATTTATTTATTAGGGTCAAAATCTCATCCGCGAGAGATTGGGTTGCTATGCAACCAGTATGCTGCCTATTGACCATGACCAAATCATCTTGAATTAGTTTGCAGCCTTGAAAGGGCTACGATGAACACACTCACTAAAGAGGGTCATGCCAAGAGTCGGTTGAATATCCTCCAGGTGTGTCTCCTATTGTCTAGGAATCTCGTGCCAACTCCTCATACCCATGTGACTCTGTAGCCAGGGGCAGGTTGGCAGTGCAATGAGCCAGGCCTGTTGTGGGCAAGAGGATGGATATATAGCATCCAGGATTAGAGCCAGGCCGAGCAGAGGTGATAGGTCCGAGGGCCAAGACTACTGGCTTTGGACTTTGGGATAGCTGAAGAAGGAGAGCCAAGTCATGGTCTTTGGGGGGGGGGGGGCACAGGGGGTGGGGATAGGAAGGGGTGGTAGGGGGTGCAAGGCATCCTCCTGAGGTCAGATCAGAAGTGTGGCGTGGTCATAGGTCCCAGTACTGAAGCTGACTTGCTCTGGGGCTTCACCCACACTCCCAGCCTGAGCAGACACTGGGACCACTGGGCAGCTCCAGGTCCCACTGGATGTGGAGGTAAAAACCAGGCCCACCAAGGGATTTTAGCAGTGAGGACAATGACACAGGAGAGCAAAGATTCCATTGGCCCCGAAGTCCACAGCTGATTTTGTGTCTTCCTTTTCAGTGCTTTAAGCAGTGGCTTAAAGGACCCAGAGTCTGCCCAGGGTGTTTTCAGCAAGATGAGTGAAAACAACGGCCTGCCCAGTAAAAGCGATGGCCACCCACCGGTCCAGGCTCTACTCTGCTGAGTGATGGCCTAGACTGTGGAATTGGCAGACTAACACTCCACTACACCAGATGGATGACACTCACCTCTGAGGAGTCTGGTCCGGTCCAGTGTGTCACCTCCTGCTGATCCATGGATCTCTCCTACAGGTGACCTTCAGTGTCAGTGCCCCCCCTCCCCGCCAGTTCAACACTTGACACCATTGCATTTCTTACATTGCTGGTGCTGCTGCTGCTGCCCATGGCGCTTTGCAGAGTGAGTGTTCCCAGCTCTCCGCAGGTTCTAGGGGTTCTTCCCCAGCTAAAGGGCCCCAGTGCCCCCTTTGTTTTTGAAAAACCCATTCCGGTGTCTCCCCAAAAGAGATGATCTGGGCCTTTTACACTTTTTCCTCAGAGTCAGTGTGCCCGAGTACGCCTACTGTTTTCCTTGAAGGTTCAGCATTTATAAAGTGAGCTGAAGCCAAGCAAATTTTAGCCGTTTTGCGAGTTGATTCTTAAAAGTCCTAGTTCGGTATCAACTGACCGAGACCAAAAGATGAAAATCTCCTCATCTTGAAATTATTTGCTTTTTATTTTTGCATTTTTATTCTTTTCTCCCTGACCCTCCCTACAACCCCCCACCCCACCCCCCGTAGATTTGCAGTGTTTATTTGTCATCTTTTTAAGAATATGGTCTATTTTTTTTAATTGCATAAAAATAGATTACTTTTTTATTTGTATCAGCTGAGACCTTTTTACCCTTAAAACCGATGCTGTGTATTCATTATCCCAACCCCATATTTGGGACCTACTCTTTGAACACTAATATCTCATTAGAAGCGCCTGCCCTTGTCCGTGAGTTAGCTGGTCAGGGTGTTTGGGCATCTGGCCCAGCACCACACACCCCATGAACCCCACAGGAGAGGAGAGTGTCCGTCCTCCTCTCCACCCCCTACACAAAAAGAACCCTGTATGTTAGACAATCCTGGTGTCCCTGTACAATCACGATGTGGCATTTGACGTTTGTGTTAATGCATGCGGAGTACACTGTGACCTGAGAATAGCATTGTTTACCTGTTAGAAACTGTTCAACACGTACATGTCTTAGTGATGTATTGACAGTGGTGCCTATGGAAACGTGAATTTCTGTACACATTCCATTTCTCAAACTGTTCCTACATGTGTCCTTTGTTCCTTTGGAAACCAGCAGTTACATGTTTATGAGCCAGTCTTGGTCACTGTCCTCTGCCCGTGTCAATGTGAATTTTGATGTGTTTCTGACTTAATCCCTGAACACACACACCTTGTTCTGAAACAGGTTCTCCACGCAGATCCTGAAAGCACTGTGTATGTTTGTATCGTTGATGTCTGTGGAATTTTAAAATCTTAGGGATCACTTTGTAGCAGCAAATATAGTGGAAAAGAGCAATTGTAGAGTCAAAGAGTGTATTTTGTATATAACTTCAAGTATATTCTTGTGAACCTGCCTTATCTGTGTGTAACCACATTCTAAATAAAGAGCATTCAAAAATAATGGCAGCCTACTTTCATTGTGTCCATTCTCAGAGAATTTACAGAACACCTTCTACTTGAACATGTAGGCATGCATTTGCCCCACCTTCTTAAAGTGATTTTCTGTGGAAAACAGAGTGGTGCTGGGTCTGAGGAACCAAGTGTGATCTTGGGGCATTTTAGAACCTGGGTCAGCACACTGATTTGTAACCCCAAAAGACTGCTAAACTCAAGATAACTGTTCTCTAAGGTTGACTTTAAATTTGTGAATTGTAAGTTTATCTAGAGATGGGAGAGCTGAGCGGAAGAAAGATATTTTTTATGTTACTACGTGGAAGCACATTGAGGACCCTGTCAGTTCCCGGGGAGACACATCGATTAATGGCTAATGAAGCTGCTTCGTAGGGGCCCTGTCAGAGGCCCTGTTATATATAGTGAAGGGTTGTTGAAGGGAGATCATCTTGAACTGATTTTTTTACTCATCCATTCAATGTATCATCAGTAAATATTTGTAATCCGATGGCATGTAGTTTAAAATCCTTTAGCGCAATGACTATTTCCAAGTTTGGATTTTGACCTATTGAAGTACTTGCCACTAGGTTTACAAGATGCGTTTGTAATTCCTCAACGAAAATTACTGAAACTGTTGACATTTATCTCCAACCACTTTGGCTGAATAATCCATTCAATGAGACAAATATATACACAAATTCATTTTCTTCTAAGCTGTCTAATCTTGAAGTTCTCTGTGTGGTATTCCTAACTCTATGGATATAAGTCAATTTGACATCAATGTAAATTGAGTCTTAATCCCAGTAAATCGTATTCATTCATGGAAGCATTTCTTCAATAATCAATTTAAGCATAGTCAAAAGGTTCTTAGAAAGGGAACAGCACATGTAAAGACAGACAGTGCAGCAGAGGTTGCCATAGTGACTGGCCCAAGTGACCCGTAGGACATGTCGAACCCAGTATCTCAAATGTTGTATCATGTTAAATATTACAACTTCTATTTAAATATATAGGATCACATAGTTTCATTTATAACTTAATCGTGTATAATTTTATTGTTTTGAAATGTAACAAATTGCTTTTAAAAGAATGTGCAGTTTCATTCACGTGTCAGTTTGACACATGTCTGTAGAGAAAGGTATATAAGAAATGTCTGTAAGCCTAGTGTTAATCTAGGCTCTGACATGGGATAACCCAAAATAGAGAAAGTAAATGGCACCTGGTGCATAATGTTACTGCATTTTTAAGGTAGTTGCAAAGATGAGGGAGGCCAGTGGGCAGTGACCCACACCCCCCAGAAGGAGGCATTAACTGACTGTAAAACTACTGTAGGTACTTCTTCAGTCAGATGACCCTCTCTCAAACTGTGGAAGAAAGCAAGCCAGTAAAAGACTGAAGCATGTACACAGGTGGAGATGAGTGATAAGAGCTCACAACACACGCAATCCAGGAACAGGGATGGGAAGAAAGATACCAGATGGGAAGGGTGAAGGGGGGGAGGAGGGGCAGAAGGGAGAACCAATCACAATGATCAACACATAACCACGCACACCGCTCCAGGGGAAAGAATAACAGAAAACATGGGGGAAGGGAGACAGTAGTCCGTGTGAGACATGAAAGTAATAATTTATAATCTATCAAGGGGTCACGAGGGTGGGAGGCAGAGGGGGTGAGAAAGAGGAGCTGATACCAAGGACTCAATAGAAAATAACTGCCTAGCAAATGATAGCAACATATGTACACATATGCCCAATACAATTGATGTATGGGTTGTAATAACCATTGTAAGAGCTCTCGATAAAATGATTAAAAAACCCCAAACGGCAGAGATCCTGCCTTTCTGAAATCTGCCTTCCAGTTTAATAGACTGTAAAGGAATATGCAATATAATTTCTTGAAATGTTCCTTTTGACAATGGATTCGATGCCATTCCTCTTCATTTTTTTATTCTCAGCATAACAGGCCATATGATTGTTGGACCCCAAATGGCCAGGGCCGGTTCATTTCAGCTTACTAATACTTAGGGCGTCTAGAAGTATTCCTAGGTTTCACAGCCCATGCATTCCACAGTCTGCTTGTTAATGGATGCCAGCAGCTGTTTCTTCTCTTTTTGAGTCACGTCACACCGGCAAATGAAGGCCCCAAAAGCTTCACTCCCAGCCGTTAAGGTCGACTCTCCGTTGAGGAGGCAGCTCTTTGCCAGCTGTATTTTGCGTGGGCTCCAGCCTGGGGTGCATCTTTCGGCACGGCGTCAGATACCGTTCCACTGTTACGCTTAAGGGTTTCCCTGGCCGGGGTCTCTAGTTGACATTTTCGTACAAGGAGACAACCAGGTCCTTCTTCCTAGTCTGTCTCGGTCTGGAAGGTTGGCGGGAACCACTCCACCAGGAGTGACCATGTGAAATCTCTGTGCCATCGCTGCCAGCATGACAGCAACACGCAAGCTGCCCCAGTACATCAGTGACACACACGTGATGGGGACTCCAGAGCACCTATCCGCCTGTAGAATCTGTCCACAGACCAAGAGGCAATCATTCAAACAGGAGAAAATAGCGCATAATTTAAAATCAGGAAAGGTGCGGACCAGGCTTCTATCCTGTCACCGTACTTCATCTGTAAATTGAACAAAGAACCTGAGAAACGGGATCGTACGAAGAAGAGCAGGCATCAGGGTCGGAGGAAGGCTCTTTAACGGCCTGTGGTATGCAGATGGCCTACTCGCTGAAAGCTGCCTGCTGGTGATGAGCAAAGCTTTCTATATGGATTGTGCCTCGAAACAAACCTCCTCACAACAAGCAATGCAATTAATGGAGAAAGATGGAAGTTCCAGGGATTTGATTTTATTGGATCCACCATGAGGGGAAGCAGCAGTCAAGAAATCCAAGTGGTTTATTGCATTAGGAAACTGCTGCAAAAGACCTTTAAAAAAGTTTTTAGTTACACATACTTCACGTATCATATAACTTGATCATTCAATCATATTAAGAAGAGTTGTGCGACCATCACCACAATCAATTTCAGAATTTGTTCTTATACTCCTTGTTAGCTCCCATTTCCCACTTCCGCTCCATCCTCCCTGGCCATGTCCCTGGGTAATTACTAACCCAGTTTCTGTCTGTAGATTTACCTATCCTGGACGTCATCTGCAGAAAATCATGTGAAACAGACAGGTAGCAAAAACAAACACACAAACAATTATGACTAGACAAAACAGAAAATCCCCCATAAAAGAAATATTAAAAACCGAACTTCAAAATGAGTCAAAAGGGAGATCAAATGATAAGGTGTTACATTTTAACCTAACTGTACATGCTATAATTGACTTTGGACTGCTCTCTGTCTGACAGCAAGGTTTCAGATAGCATCTTTGCTATTGCATCCATATCTTCAATGGTATCTTCATGAGGGCAAGTATTGAGTAGGGTTATGTCATAGAACTAGTTACTCTTAGATTGGGGTTAGGATTAAGTGTGAAACTGAAATCCATTCATCCTTGGACTTGTTCAGACGGTATTCACGAAAGGCTTTATCCATGCATAGACCCAGCAAAGGTCATTCATAGCCTTCTGCAAATTGTGTTCACAATATAAGCTCTAATACCACTCCTTCCTTCAGATTTGGATTTTATTCTTTAAAATCCTTGGATCACACAGGCTGGTATGCTTCTTCCATGTGGATTTAGTTGATGCCTCACATAGATGGTCATTTGTTTGAACACAAGCCTTTAAGATCCCAGACATTACAAGGGGGTACCCCTCAAAAAAGCTGATTGCACTGGGGGGAGCAGAGATTTCATAGTATGCATTTTCCCCGCTAGACAAGCATCCAGCAATTTGCTCTGAATTAGTGCAACCAGTAGTGTTATCTGGGAAGGTTCTCTCTGGTCACAGTGAATTTTTTCATACAAGCAGTTCACTCAAACCTCATTTTTTGTTTGTTTTGTGACGGCCGGTTTAAAAGAACAGTGTGCGGCTGTGAAATTTTTTCTGCTCAGGAAAAATGCGGCAGAAACGATCGTGATGTTAAACACAGCTTACAAGGATGGGATTTTTTCATAGTGTACGAGTGGTTTTCTCGTTTCAAAGAAGGTGAAATGTTGATTGATGACAAGCCTCATTCTGGACATCTGTCAACTTCTCGAACAGACAAAATGTCAACAAAATTCATCACTGTGCACAAAGACCAACGACAGACCATTGAAGAGATGGGGATGTTATTTGTACTATCTTGGAGCTCGGTTCGGTGTATTTTAATGGAAGATTTGGGAATGAGAAGGGTCGCTGTGAGATTTGTGCCTCCGGTTCTGACTGACCAGGAAAAATAATGTCTAGTGGAAACATGCTGTGCTTTGAAAGAACAGCTCCAAAGTGACCCAGACTTTCCCCCCAGTTGGCAACATGTGGTGCTATTCCGATGACCCTGAAAGCAAACATCCATCAAGCCAGTGGAAGATGCCATCGTCACCTTGCCCCCCAAAACTCGTCAAGTGAAATCAAAGATCAAGACGATGCTCATTTGTTTTTTTAATGTGAGGGAGATAGTGCATTTGGAATTCATTCCACAAAGTCAGACTGTTAATTAAGCTTTCTATTTTGAGGTTCTGAAAAAATTGCACAGCAGTGTGTGACAAAAAAAAGCCTAATTTGCGGCAGATGGGGGATTTTTGCCACCACGACAATGCACCTGCTCACACAGCCATCTCAGTGCACCAATTGTTGGCAAAAAACAGCAGGCCTCTCTTGCCGCATACAACTTACTCACTTGACCTTTCTCCTTGTGACTTCTTTTTGCTTACACTAATGAAGACGAACACGAAAGGACATCGATGATGCAGAAGAGGTGAAGAAAAAACGAGGGAGGTGCTGTCAGCCATCCAAACAGATGAGTTTGAAAAGTGTTTCCAAGAATGGACTCGCAGATTTGACAAATGTATTAAGTGTAATGGAGAGTACTTTGAAAGTAATAAAGGTGGTTTATTAAAACATTTAAATACATAGATTTGAAAAAAAT